ACATTTATAGATGCTGATACAGTTGTTTCAAGTTCATGTTGTCTTTCCCTGCACTGTTGTGAAAAGCACTCGTTCATTTGTTTGCTTCGGACATTGGGCAAATTTACTGCCTTATAAGTAAGCCAAGCAATCGAATTCTTTGGGTTATATATTCATATTGTTAATTATTTCCTGGCGATATTTTTTATTTCATGAATATTCAGGCGATTCTCGTGCCGTCTTGGCACGGAAAGGTCAAGCAGCATTTGGTACCGAAGATCATAAACCCTTTCTTCCAAAAGAACGCGATCGTATCGTTAATGCTGGTGGTTCCGTGATGATCCAGCGTGTCAATGGTAGTTTGGCGGTATCTCGAGCGCTTGGCGACTTTGAATACAAAGCTGTTCCAGGTTTAGATGCAACAAAACAATTGGTCAGTCCGGAACCAGATATATATACGATTGTAAGAGATCCGGTAAGGACCCTCTGTTTGAGTAATTAAGTGGATGAAAGCTGATGTTTCATATTTTTGGTAATTGTGATTCTACTGATGGTGTAATTAGCAAAAAATAAATAATATCCATTAAAAGTTTGGAGACCAGGACCCTGAAAAGTTGATTGATTATATCTGACGTGCAGCTGTACCATCAGCAGGCTGTACACCACATTTTATTTATTTCTTAGAATCCTGTCCATTTTATCCTTCCCTTTCTTGATATTCTGGTCGTCTTTAATTGGTCTTTATTATTTCTGCTCTGTAAATTTTCTTTTCAGAAACTAATTGTCATATGCTTTACATGTGTATTTCAGCGATTGGATGAATTTCTGTTACTTGCTTGTGACGGGGTTTATGATGTCATGGAAAATGCTGAGATTTGTAGTTTCGTAGAATCACGTCTTCTCGTAACCAGTGATCTCTCCAGTGTTGCAAACCAGGTTACTTTTTTTGTAGGGGAGTGGGACTCTTATATCACTTATGATAATGTCACTTTGGGAAATGGTATTACTTGATCTAATCTTGAAATGTTTCTGGTGGACATCAGATTCAACGAAATATTGGTCAAAAATAAGTATTTTCTTGGAAGATTTTTGCTTATAAGATTCATATCACCACTTCTTCCACTTAACAGTTCTTCCCTTTTTTCACTTAACACTTCTTTCCTTCTCCCTTTTGAAACGGTTGGAAGCTTTAACATTTTCTAAAATTGTTTACAAAGATAGCTGATTTAAATTGTCATAGTATGGCTACTCATGATTTCCTCCTTATTGCAGTTTCTGAAGAAATTTTTGCTCGTAAGATGATTTAGAACTATAAATAGTTGCGAATTCAGTTAAGAGTTCGATGGGTTTTCTAGTGCTCTACAAAGATTAAAAGTTTTTAGATGGTTGAATTTCTTTCTAGGTGCTGGATGCTTGTTTATCGAAAGGCTCACGGGATAACATGACCATTATACTTGTCTGTTTCGATGCAGCACCAAAAGTTGATCAAGAAGCAGTCAAAAAAGAAGAAGGGTGGAAGCAAAAGATCTTTGAACGGGTGCAAGGTTCTTTTTCGAAATTTTTATGCAAAATATTGTCTTATTTATATCGGTTCTGCTTTTAGCATTCTTGCTTCTTACCAAGTGACGAACTGTAAGTTATGACTAAGTATATTGAAGTATGAATATCGATTAACTGTATAAAGAGATAGTGCAAAGTTAATGGGTACAAAATATATCATCTGCTTGTAATTATAATTCTTTTGATATTTCGATGATATAATCTAAAACTCGCTGAAGTTTACTTTTCAGAAATTCTCGAAGAGCATGGAAAGCATTCACATGTGGATGCAGAATTTATAATGCGTGAATTGGGTGGGAAAGTGACACAAGCCTGTCCGGCAGGTGTCAGTATCCATGCGGCACGATCAATTATTGATAGCATTTTGGCGGAATGTGAAGCACAGAATGAGATTACGCGCTCAGCTTCGTCTTCACCCGGAAGAACTTGATTTTTTGAAAAATTTTTTTCAAAGGTCGTAATTAACTTCTTTTTTTTTGATACTAGAAGTGAATTGGAAAACCTGATTTAGAAGCATTTGTGCTAAACTCACTGTAGATATTTTTGTCTGGTGCTTGACTGAAGCTGTTTTGTGAACTAGCAACATAAAAAGTATTTGCAAGTTGTTTGTGGTTAAGATTGTGATTGATTCGTTCATTAATTCAGATATGCGTAATCTGCCGCAATCATCTACTTCTTTGTGCTAAACAAAATCAAGTCCAGTGGAATTGTTGGTGTTGAATAACGTTGGTGGATCACATGAAGTTTTTTATCTTGCTTACTAGGGGCACACTGGTTGTAGAAATATTTCATTTGACATTTTTTGAAATAAGGCTTTCTACTACTTTGTCGTATTAGCTGTGAGCAAATGTAAGCAATGTCAGTTATTTTTTTCTAAATTTTTGTATTCTTTTTTTATTTCTTTATTTTTTTTTTGCGAGTTAAATGTGATCTTTTTTGATCTTAGATTTCAAATGGAAATTTTTGTTGAATTGCATAAGTTCTCCCTGCAATTTGATAGGTAAAGTTCTTGGGGGAAGGTTTGTTATGAGTTTAAAAATTCATGGAAATTTTTGCACAGTGCCGAGTCATCAACTTAACCAATTTAACCGCGTTCAATTGGATGAAGTTGATGACTGGGGAATATAGAGCATATAACACGATTTGCTAAGTCCTTAAAGGGAGATTAGGTGACTGCTGACATTTCCAAGTTCTGCTATAAACGAAAGAAAGAAAACTCTTTGAAGGTGGGATGTTTTATCGATTCGGAGAATTTCTTGAGATCAGTTTTCCGGAGTTTTGAATATTGATGGTAATATGGGACTACTTTTTTTTTAAATTTCAAATTCATTTCAGCAGTTTTCTTGAGCAAGTAAATCAAATTCAATGAAAGACCTAGTTTTATTTACGAATGATAGCAATCAGCGAATGGATACCACTAGCAACACATGAAGTATATGGTTGACTTTAGATTTGGGCATATGCTGCATTCAAGAGTCCAATGTAATGTTTTTAACTTTGGACTATAATACAATTTTTCTTATTAAACAGAATATTCTGTTTTAGAATCATACCTAGACGGAAATTGCTGTTTTTTATGGAATGATTGGAATTTTGAAGTGCGCAATTTGTTTTTGTAGGTCCGAAAGAAATATGAAACAAATTATTATCTTGAAAGTTCATGCAATTTGTAGAAAATTATGCGTTTTATAACTATTGGAATGCATGCGATATTTGCTTTGTTTAAGTCACGTTCTTAAAGTCCTTTACCTGCAAATTAGAAAAATCCATTACTGGCACTCTTTTATCCATTCAAATTCTTTTTTTATTGGATAATTATCTACCGTTTGGGGAAAATTTTGATCTCACGAAGCTACGATTCTGCTGGATGTCAAAAAATTTCCATCCCTTTAAAAGTGCAGTGAAGCGATAGTTTCTATTTCCGTGTTATCAAACTTCAAATGCAAATGGAAAATCAATAGTTGGTTAAGCTTTTGTTTTCGACTGTTATGGTCTATTTTTCTGCTCATTGTTGCTGTTTCTTGTCCTAGATCTTCAATCGAAAACTGATCGTTAAATTTTAATTTTTAAGGAGACGCCTGATGCACATATTATTTGTATGACCTGTTTCAAACACCACCTTCACACTTTTTTTTCTTACCCAGCTTCATGAAATGGAGCATATTCTTGTACATCATACATTTAGATCATATTTTTCATGGAAACATTTATTGGTATTGTTATGCGATTTTTATACACGTGCTACATATTGGTTCATAAGGTGCTTGGGTGGGTGTTTTTGATGTGTCTTCAGCTTTGCTGAGGATTGTTAGCTCATCATGCTAGATTTGGCATATTATTTCCCATATTTCTATGAAGATCTGGAACATAAGAAACTTGAAATAGTCAAAGTCAAACTTTTTAAAAGTTCTCTTTGATTGATTGTTGGGGAAAGCAGCTCCAGTCGGTTATGCCTCACTGATATCATTGATAGCAGGATCCCTTTCTTTTTTTAAAATATGAGTTCATCATTTTCCAGTCTCATTTTTTTAAAAAATGGAAATTTTCGTAATTCTTCAGTTACTTTTAGTTACTTTTTCGTTCTTCTTTCCATCTTTTACTCCCACATTCTCGTCCGGTGCGAAACTTCTTGCAACTTAAAGTTCTATTTTCCAGTTTAGGATTTTAACTTTTTTTTTAAAGTTTCTTTCGAACATAAAGATATGTTTGGCACTAAGAGATTAACTGTATTTCTAGAGAGAGGGGGATTTCTTGGTTTCGTTTTTTTTTTTTGACTATGTAGAACATATGAGCTCATTTCAATGTAAAATAAACATTTTGTTCTGAATTCATCCTTCCATGGTACATAATATGCTGGTAATAATCAGAAAATAGGCACAGATGTTTGGCTTTTAATAAATTCTAACAAACTTTTACTAAGCAGTTGAGATTTGTTTTTTAAGCATGTAAGTATTTGCGATATGTGGGTTATCCGTGTGATTTACAGATGCATTTGAAAATTTTACATCATCTGTAAAAAATTGATGGTCATGGTTGATGGCATTCTGTTGACACTTTAAATCCACATTAGTTCAACATTGAGACATCCTAAAACAGATAAACTTGGATTTGTCTCGAATTAAATCGTCTTAAATCTTGCATCCTTTACTTGGAAACTATTTCATTTCATACATTTATTCATCGTAATTAACAAGAAGTGTCATGTTTCTTCATCAAATCAAAAGAAGTAGAGAAAATTGATATGCATGCATAGTACAGGCAATAGTATAGACTAGAAATGACTGCTGTGAAAATTATCCAGGAAGTCTTTATTTCTTTAATTTCTCTTTTAAACTTGAATGTTAAAGCTTAGTATATTCTAATTTGGCTGTTCTTTAGGATTATGCCAGCTTAGTCTTTATTAAATGAATATTCATCAAATATAGCTTTTATGAGCTTCATCGCTGTATGATAGTTGTTCATTAAATTTCAATTGTGTTAGTTTTTCTATACAATTTTGCCAAAGGACTGGCTTTTTGGCTTCTTGGTAGTACTGAATGACATCCAACAGTTACGGTTTGCAGTGCCCGAGTGTATTCATAGTATCCTGTTGTCGGGTCACATCGAATCCGCTTCAGTACAGCTACCTAGAAAAAAATTGCAATTTTCCCCGGATTCTGAAGGATTATTTAAAATTTCCGATGTTCTCAAAACTGTAGACACTAGATGATTCACAATTTTTTTGAAGAAATCAACAAACGTTAATTACTTTTTACGAATTGTTATACAAAACTTGGACAATACAGTAGAGCTATGGTTTCTTAAAATATCAATTAGCTTTACCTGTCGTTTAATTGGCATACAAAACGAGCCTGAACTCCCACGACTACGACGACATAAACAATGTGCTTCAGAAATAATCTTTGGCTCTCGATTTTCATCATGATTCAATCTAAAGTTCAGGAATCAATTAAGTTCGAAGCTTACAAAATAATGATTTCAAAGATTGGAACCACTGAAAATTAAATTATCGGGAAGGCTTGAATAAATGAGTAAAGGGAGTTGAATGGCTCTCACATTCAAAGATTTTACGAAAATCGTTAAACATCTTGATTACTGTTATCAAAAGATACGGCTCTTAAATCTTAGCAAATACTGGAAGTATGTGACAAAAATAGATTAGAATTCGTCGTAGAGCTGCATCAAAAAAATAACATAAAATTCTTCGAAGAAAAACTTAGGACTGATTTTGATGAAATCAAAAACTGAATTCAAATTAAACAGTAGGAAAGACGGACGATCTGTGAAAGATCAATCAGTTCTACCTAGGGATTTGTTCTTTTACTCCAGTAAAAATTCAATGTTACATTGATCAGAAGTATTCGTGAGGAATCAAACTGGCATGTTTGTCATATTTGTCATTGTTTGAAAAAGAATTAATATTTCCAAAGTCTTATTTTCTGTTCGGGACTTCTGAGAGGGAAAAGAGGTGAACCACGGAAGATATGTTTACGCAATTTTATAATTTAGAAACAAACTTCCATTGCCATGGGCACAGAGACCGTTGTATTGTTGTAGAATTAATGCCTGTTTCTGGTTTGGTACTACAAAAACTTGATTCTGGCACTGGTGGATTCCAGTCTTCATCACCAATTTCCAGAATTTCTAATTCGGACGTTTCAGTAAACCATCGAAATAACCTCCAGTTCTAAAAAATAACAAATTTTGTTAGGCTTTTAATTTTTAATTGCAATCACAATAATATCAGATATCTTGTTAGTTTATAGGATATTTCAGCTAGTCGGTTATCAGTGTACGAATAATCTCTATAAAAGTGCAAATGCAATCAGTATTTTGGCCTTATAAGTAAGCTACAGGAATAATCATTCTTGGAGATGCTAAATTTTTTGGTATTCATAAATTAACGAGTTGATATTCCGGGAGATCTTAGATGATTTTTGAAGTGATTACAAGAAGATCGGAAGAAAGTGGGTGGAGCAGAAACGAAAGGAGTTAAGGTATAAGAATGGCTTCTGCTTGTGATCTATTTTTTTAAATAATCCAAACGCAGACTCAATTTCATCAGTTGACCCATATTTTACGCAAGAAGTTAGCAATGAGAACGAATTGTCCGTAATTTGAAATGACTTTTTTTTTGTTCATATTTGATTTTAGTTAAATAATTAACAATGATGCATTCTAAATTGTCATCTTTCATCTTCTCCTTCCTTTCAAAAACCCTATGACATAATTAATCATCATCCATTTACGTAGTTGTAACAGATGCTTTTGCAAGTCATTTGTAGGATTTCTTTTTACTGCTACTTATAAATTGTAGAAATAAAATATACACCCACTCATTCCTTGGATGAAGCATTTTAATTTTGGCACTGCTGCAGAATGCAACTTTCCGTAGATTATAAAGACATTTAGTTAAGTATGGACAAAATAAACTTATAGTAACGATATATCCTTCCTATTTTCAACAAGGCTAATGCAATTTCGGAGTAATTCGGCATATATTACTGGGAAGCAAAAGGCTTGTTAAAGAGTTACTTAATTGTAACAAATCAATAGTTAATCATGTTTAGACCAATTGTAATGAAGAATATAAGCCATATGGTAACATGTAAAACATACCAAGTCAACAGGTTCTTTACAAAGATTTTCAAAATGGATTTTGTGATGTTTAGCATTGGTAAATGGAACACATAGTATCAGAAATATTATGAGCAAAAGAGCGGTAAATGGTATAGGAAGTTTCAGTAGTCGAAGAATTCGCAGTAGTGTAAAAGGAGTTGCGTTGATTGTAGCAGCATGATGCTGTGATATGCGTGAATCTTCTGGAGCATCCAAGATTGTCGTTCGTAGTCGACCAATCCGTATTTCCATTTCTGCGCATCAAGTTCTCCATGTGTCAACTATAATAACCTCCCACCTGTTCATCAACTAGTAGGGAGAGGGACGAAAGGAATGAGTAGGTAGAAATGAAAGGCGGTATATGACATTACAGCTGCAACACAAAATGACCCACAAAAAAATTAGTGAAAAAATCCCAAGATAAAAGAGTATTTTTGCAGCAAGTTTGTTTGAAAAATTTTTGGACTAAAAGGAAAAAAGTGGAAATTCCAGGTTAAATTTTCAACAAAATTCGTTGTTTTCATTCGCTACCATTCTCCAATCATCAGTTCTGATAAGATTACTGGAAAACAAGACGGTGACAAAGAAAAAAAAAGTTGCTGAACATGTTTCAATTTACAAATGCTGGTAAAATACCATTCAAATTCCACCAATATATCAGAAACATTAGTAGATGTGCGGCTGAAAATGTGCGGCTGAAAAAAAAGCAGCGAAACATATTGAAATATCAACATTCAACAGGCTGAAATGTACTGATATCAACTTTAAATGGAACTTTTGATTATAAATTACTTAGCAATTTTTGAAATTCATCTTATTACATTAGAAAATTAAATCCGGATGAGACAAGAATATTTTAACATTTTCAATAAAATTAAGTCAAAATTATCCTTGCAGTATTTCAAGTTATTCTTAAATTGTTCTTCTAAAAGTAAGCTTTTAATAAGCAGTGGCGTCTTGTCCCTATCAGTAAGTCCTGTCTCAGAGATGGTTTGTAACTGAGAGGATTTCATTGACGAAACTTCTGCAAGGTTGAATTTGCATTTCATAATTGCTGATTGATTTAGATAATATCATTCGTTAAATATCATCGATTAAATATCAGTTGCATAGAACGATGCTTTATTTGAATCATTAGGATTCAGAATCCCTTTTGCTCTCTCGCTTCTCAATGAGGATTGGGCCAGAAAGTTAAGCAAGACAAAAATAGAATCTTTGATAGTCTTACTAACAAACTTTGTCCTGCATTAGAACGATTTCGTTGTCAAATTGATATCGGAAATAATTTAAATATCTGAAATAAATGAATGAATCCAGAACAATGATTTCAAGTTCTTGCCATTCGAACTTCAGCCTTTCAACAAAATCATTTCTTGAATCCGCATACTGATACTACTACCATTATTAATCATTTTTGATGTCAATTTATTCGACGTAAAATTCATTACATCGTATCACTCACTTGCCAGTAAATGTTTCTTCATGTCTTTGTTTCCTTAATTTTTTTAAACCCTAAGGGTCTAAAATTTAAAAATTAGACGGCCTTGAACGAGTTCAGAAGAGTACGCGTGTGTGTATAGTGCAACATTTTTTTGCCAAATTTTGTTATAAATGTCAAATTTCATTTTTCAAAATTGACAAATGTATCAAAAAATACATAAAATATAGGAACCATTTCTCTCTTTCTCTTCCATTGATTATTTCGAACTAAATTTAGATCGAGTTGATTGCACTAATTAATCCGTTTAGAACAGTAGCATGAATGAATCGATCCGATAACAAGGAAAAGTAACGGAGAATCAATGGTATGTTCCTAGCAATGCTTGGCTTGAAACAAATCTTAATGAAAAAAAAAAAACATCCGGATTAAGCAAGCAAAGAAATTTTTTTTGAAGAAATGTGAGAGAAAATTTGATTAGGGAAAATTTTATTACCGAAAAGATAGTAGACGGTGATCACTGCTTGATAACGATGACGAAATGCATGACAGTGATGATAACGACGTATCAGTTATCATCATCCAGGTTAATATTGATTCAGTTCTTGATATGATGTGGATGTTTCATGCATTAATAACTCAAATGGTTGAAATGTTTGCATTTATTTAAATTATTCCATATCTTTACCATTTAATGGTCATTTGAAAGCAACTTTTTGTAAGTTTAATTCAATTTTGTCACGTATGAATTTCACAAAAATACCTAAAATGCTCACGGTACAGGTAGATAGATACGTTGGAGAAGACTCCTCCTGTCCTTCCTATTACATTTATTGTGAAAATTTCCTCAAACAAACTGAAATTTCTGCATTTAATACTTCCCGCGATTGCCGGGAATAACAAAATAATATGAATTCGAACCTGCTCTCGATTACTGTCCATCCGCATCAATCTTTGCCGTATCTCGCAATCCCAACACTCTCTTCTCCCTTACGGCACCACTTCAAACATTTCAATCATTCGTCAGTCTGTTCATTTCTATAAATGAACACCTGCATACAAAGGCAACCGCAAAATACCATATGATTAATGCTGAGGGTGCCGAGAAATGGCTATTGGTCAAGAAAAGATCAGTGGATGGACTAAGTTGAGGTCAGTTCTATTTGTATTTGACTTAAATGGTATGGTTCAACCTTCTTCTCCAAACGTTCATGAACTTCAAATGTTTTATATCTCGCAGTGACGTTTATTTCTAGCTGTTCAGAACTGTTTGTATTTCCTTTTTAGCTTTATGTTCCAGTTGGCTATCAGGTTGTAGAAGGCAATTCTTCCATATCCGAGAGCATCAAAAAATCATCGATTTGCAAAGTGGAGATGAAACCTAATGATGATGCGAAAGTTAAGTTCGATATCGGCCAGGAAGTTAAGGAAGGATCAGAGCAGCCATCGAAACAGGTTCGCCCATATTTATATTGTGTAGTTTTATAAATTTGTTAGAATCTCTTTAAGCCATATTTTGTACTTTGTGAGTTTCTAAGACGATTCTCAGCTTGATGATTCTTTTTTCTTATTCAATTACTTTAAAGTTCCTTTTTTGTGATGGCTGGTTGTGATGGCTTCACTTCAAAGTGTTTGTTTTTTTTCGCGGCTTTTTTTTATTGGAGAAATTTCCGTGAATTTCTTTCATTGTTGTGGTGCTCGTCTTGTAAATCTTTTGGTTGCTGTTGAACTCTGAATGTTTGTTATCACATTGAATTATTTTGAACAGCTAGAACAGTTACCAATATCGCGAATTTCTCTGATCTCGTTAACAAGCGTTAGAAATTTCCAAACTGCCAAAGTGATTAGAAATCTTTTTAATCATAAGCAAGTTTCGTTTCCTTCTCCTTCGTTTTTCGCCTCATTACCTGAATCAGTTTTCTAGCTTGCTTTTTTGATTTGAAATGGTCTTTTTGTAACACTTAGATTTCAATCATTTGATTTCATAAAGAAGCAGCTCTTTCCGTCAGTCTGTTTTCTAGCGTTCTTTGGGGAGAAATCAGAAATATTGTTTTTAAATACCTATCATTTGATGCCTCATAATCTTTAAGGGATATAATTTAATGACTTTCGAATCCTGATCGGCTTTAACTCATGGCTGCTAAATAATTGGATTTTAAATCGAAGATAACATTCGAAGTTATTTTCCATTTTGACAGAGAACTTTTTTCATTTCTAGGATAACGATGAAGTCGATGGCGATGCTGAGAACATAGTGGATGAAGAAAACAGTGATCAGACAGGACTTCAACGTACACCACGAAGTAGCGGAGATGATGAGGAAGGGGTGGTGATGGAGGAGGGTGTACCTGGACCTTCCGATTTCAACAGGAATTTGCCCTTTTATGGAACAGGTAATATGCTTTAGGTTTTGGAAATCTAGCGATCGTAAGGTTACAGATTCTGCACAGAATCTGATGTGCATTTTTTCTAGATCACGCTGCATTCCACCTACCAACAAATCTTGAAATTCGTGAAGGTGTCGACTACCAGTGTCCGGTGCAAGACTGGACAACAGACGATGATTATTACGATGACACAGAACGTGAAACTTGCGTTTGGCGACCGACAAATCTCTTGGAAGTTGCGGAAATTAATGATTACCTTTCCATTGCACTTTCAAGCTTTAATATTGAACAAGACCGGGTATATCTTCAGACAGCTTTTACAAATTGCTCAAAAATTTTCTCTTTCGATTATCGATCTGTTGCTCTTGTTATATAACGTTATTTAAGGTAAACTGAAAATCACTCCTGAAATAATTTCAAATCAAGAATTATTTTTCATTTGCTGCCATTGCGGTGATATCGGTTAAGCAGCGCCGATTGATGGCATGTTTGTTTAAAGTGTGTAACGTTTGGTGACATCTGAAAAAGATCTAACCAGAAGATGAATTAAGCGAACAGATGTAATAGCTAGCGAAATAGACGAACAGCAATGGTATCCTGCGTATAGTCATGCATCAGTGAGCGAAGAACTGTTTTGAATAAATTGGTCTTTCAGAACAACAAACGATTGAAAACACATTTATGTTTCATTTTTTCCTGCTTCTTTTTGCTTCCACTAATTTGTCCTATTCTTTTTTTAAATAATTTCAGGCGATGTTTATTCTGCAATCATCAGATTATAATATCGAAGAAGCTAAACATCAGCTCGCTAAACGACGAGTCAAAAAAGAACCATGGAGTGAGGAAGATACAACTGTTTTCAAGCAAGCACTACAAACATATGGCAAACATTTTAATAAAATCAAGCAATTGGTTCGTTATTTATTTAATATATGTGGTTTTTATAGATTTTCTTAGTTTCTTTTTAGGGGTCTTCATAAAGTTAAAGCGGTTACTATAAGTTTAAAGGGCTAAATAATTCTTATTTTTGAAGCATCCTCGAAGAAAAACAAATGGTTAATCCTCTGCATTGCAAGCACTTGACATACAATCGCGTCATATTTAGTTTTAGGACAAGCCGACACTTAGCTTCAAGTTCGAAGAACTGAGAAAGCTTGTGGTCTGTCTCGGGTTTGAGAACTTACTCGGTAATTCTGCAAATAAATTTTAGTTGCCACACAAATCGATCAAAGAAATTATTAACTTTTATTATGACAATAAGAAGAAACTCAATTTTCGAAGTGTTATTGATGTTTTCTTGGAAGAACACAATCCTGAGTCCAGGTAACTGCTTTTTGTCGTATTCATATCTCATTTGACCATCACGGATACATTAGAATGTCACTAACACCAACAGATAGCAGCAGTACTAGGGAGTATTCTCACGAATAATTTAGAGAGCAAACTGCAATCTAAGAATAGGAAAAGCAAAAAAAAAACTTCCTGGAAGTCATTTGAAATATTTTGCTTTTCACTCCAATTGTTATATGAATTAATTGCAATTTATATTCGATTTACGGTAAACTAACAATAAATCTGAGAAAGTGACTTCTAATTTTATTGTATAAAACTGATCTTTTGTATTAGCTCTGAAGACGGTGATGTGGACAATATAGAGAAGCAAAGCAATCGATGTTACAACTGTGAACAGACAACAAATTTGCGTCATATGGGTGATTTAAAACTTTGCAACGCCTGTTTTATCCATTTTAGGTATCCCTTAGATTGTAGTTATTAACTTTTTCGAAAATGTTTGTTATATAGAAGAATTATATCTTTATTCGTCGCCGTCCTCTGAGTTATGTCAGAGCTTGTTATGCACTGGTAGCTTACTTGATCGTTTACGTATCCACATTATGTTGAAGATTTTGAGTGAATCGAAATATCGAGTTCATCTTTTGTGAAATTTGTATAAATCTATGAATCTTGCAGGAATTATCATCGTCACAGACTGTGCCTGAAACCAATGAATTTTGATGGAAACGCTAACGAAGCTATGAAGTGTCCTAAAAGTAGTTTTTGAAAGCATTTAAAGGCTTCAAAATTTAGAATAATGCGAAATCTTCATTTTCTTGCAAAAGTTTCAACTGAATAAATAAAATATTAAATAAACCAGTGTTATTCTAGATATAGCAGAAATCGTGGAACGATTTGTGGAGTTTGCAACTGAGGAAGAGGATACTCCACAGTCATCATCATTAAAGAAAAGTGTTGCTGAAGTGGAAGACGATGACGATTTACAGATTGTTAGTGTTATTCGACCACCGGAAATGCGATACACACGGATCTTAAAGCATGTTTTCTTACGTTTTGCTGGGATATTTAGGAATTTCACTAACAAATTACTTTAATATTTTCTCGATGTTAACAATTTCTTATGAACAGTTACATTTGTCTTTATTTATGACTGGTATTTCCGGACAAAAACCTTCACTTCGAATATTTCTTTTTCTAACTACTAGCATCTCATTCAGTGAATGGATTATGGGGAATGGTTTGAGGGTTTACATCGTGAGCGTTTTTCAGATAGAATGTTTTTTCAGATAGAATGTTTCAGATAGAATGTAAAAGATGCATTTATATGATATGAATAGGTTGATCTCATGTAACTTTTCTTATATTTTCTAATAAATTTTTTTCATATTCCAGACAGTTAGAACGGGAAGAAATGCTTGCACGGGGAAACTGCGTAAGACTGGAGCATACATTACGAATTCAATTTGAAAAGGAGTTAAACGAAAGTTGGTTTTTAGAAAAGGACTTGGGAATTTTTTTTATAAGACTTGAATTTTATCGTAAGATTTTGTGATAAGATTAATAACTAATTTGCCTCAAAATGGAATTGAAAGATTTTGTTTAAACTATTTGTAATATTTCAGATATGGAGCGTTATCGAATTGGTCGGCTTCCGTCGTCTGCAGCTTCTGGTCGCCCTCGACGTTCTCCGTCATGGTCCTACAAAGAAAAATGGCAGGCTTTGTTTGGTAGGTATCACTTCTAATTTAAAAAACAAACGGATTTTAAAAATACATTTTCTTTCTTCAAACAACCCTTGGAATTTAAAAATATTCTAAATTTTTTATTATAATGCTCAGCGTCTTTAAATATTGTTTAGTAGTTGTAGCGAATATTTTCCTGCACCCTCTTTCCATTCTGATCTGCAAAACCAAATTTGATTTTGCAAGTTCTTCGAATTTTCAAACCATCTTTTTCGTTAGCATTTCAACGATATGGAAAGGATTTCGATGCTGTCGCAGAAGTGCTGGAAAGTAAGACTCCGGATATGGTGAAAGCTTTTTATTATGAAATGCGAGAAAAAATTGACGATGTGAGCTTGGACATCTCTTCTCATGCAATTTTGCCATTGTTATCATTACGTTTTAATCTTATATTTATCTTCAAAATTATAATTAAATCGCACCCTTCTGTTTCAGAACAGAATTTTAAAGCTCCACTATTCCTGGCCAAAGGGGCCTTAAAAAAATGAGCCAAAAAAATGGAATGGACAGCTTCTCCAAAAACGGGGACTGCGTGTCATTTCCCATGTGATTTTGAGATATTTCGGCTATTATTTGATCATTATTATTGTAGTGGTATTGTTGGTGTTGATTTTTCAGTTCAACCATACATGTTTTTCTGTACATCGTAGACGCAAAAATTGAATCTCTATACAAGTAATAACTGTCAGTCTTCTCATCAGCGGTTAAGCTATCATAGTGAAGCATAAATTTATTTTGTATAATATTTGATTTATAAATACAGGGTTCATGACCAAATTTTTGAAGTTTTGAACGTTTTCAGTTTCAGATGATCAGCAAAACCAGTGACTATTATCGCAAGCTAGCTGACACTTATGATTTTGAACGGAAGGTCGAAGTTGATACATCAAATGAAGTTGTTGATGTCGAATAAAAGTAGTGCATTTTCTTACCGAAGATGGAAATAGCAATTAATTCTTTTTGATTTCTGGCATGGCAGTGTCCTTAAATTATTAATTCTCGACATATCAAAAGAGTTATGTTAGAAGCCCTGCTCAGCATTGAATGGCTTGGGTTGTTAATTGTAAAGTAGTTTGGTTTTGAATATCGAGACTTTTATAGTTTTTTTGAATTCAGAAAAAAATTTTTCTGCTAGAATATTTCTGTTAAAATTTCTGCTAAAATACGAAAAAAATTTTTTTCTGCTAAAAAAATATTTCAATTTATTCAAAATATATGGTACATTTCAAGTGATTTTTATCTTATTGGTCTCGATTTTTTCAATTTCTCGTGAAATGCCTGGAAAGCCATTCCTGAATTGCCTTTTTTGATGAAGTCAGGTTGTGGAACATCGGGAGAGTTGTGTGAAGTCAGATCTGCTTTTTATTTTTACTGTTTTTCCTATGATTTACTTTGTTAAATAGTTTTGATAAAACATTTCGTCTTAGCTGTTAATTGTTTTGGCTAAGCCAGACATCGACGACACAGCTCTGTTAAGTTTCGAAACATCATAGATACCAAAATATGCTAAGTTAATACTTTATCAATTTATATTACAATTAAGTGTTGCAGGGGATTAAATGTTTAAGTTTAAATGAAAACTTTAAATTGAATTAAATTTAAAAAAAACAAAAATCGGGAGTGTTTTTTTTATATTGGAATGAAATGTTATTGGGAGTTAGGTATTCGAAATAGTGGAAGTAAGTGATCAAATACTGAGAAGATAGGAAATCGATATGTGCTCAATTGGAACGTCCATCCATGTGGGGACATTTAATGCAATCATATCAAAATAATGTATTACTTTTGGAATATGATGTATTATTGATCTGAAAAGTTGTCGGCCGAATTGTCGTACGGGTTGAGGATTACTTTGTAGTAATTGATCTATGAATATTTTGAGTTTTTATCATTTGAAAATTGCAGAAAAAGCGATTTTGTATGTTTGTTTCCCTTCCAATTGTTGGTTTACAGATGTTTCCATACGTTTTCCTGTATTGTTCATCAATGTAACAGTTTATGCTTAAATGTGAGAAGTGATTCATTTAGCTGACATATCTTATCAAATTAGATTTCAATTATCAAAAATGATCTTGTCTTCCTTTCAAATATTTCCCATCATTTCATTTCACTAGCTCCTTCCTAATTCTTCTGTTCCGCTTATTCCATCAGTCAAATGCTTTTTATTAATTTGAATCATTCAGAAATTTCGAAAGGAATTCAACAGATTTATAATTTATCAGCAGTTAATGAAGAAGACGAATAGTTTCCGTCTATTCTTCCTGAAATTTTCCGGACAAGTGCTTTATTACATTTCAAACTAACCTAACTTGCTCTCATATATCGAGATTAATGAAAAGCATGCATTGATATCCGGATCGCAGATATCTGATTAACTACTGAATGCATTGTAAACATAATTTCGGTTACTGCGATAATCTTTCTCGTGTTGATCACCAGATTTCTGTTTGCTACTTAGCAGTGGTACTTATCTGCGATCAGATTTCTGTTTGTTCACCAGATTTCTGTTTGCTACTTAGCAGTGGTACTTATCTGTGTTCAAATATTTCTCGAATATTTCTTCACT